CATATTTTCTTTTTCCAGCCTGAACAGCTGTAATCTCACAGAGAAATGCTGTGATGCGTTGGCTTCAGCTTTAAGATCAAACTCCTCACCCCTGAGAGAGCTGGACCTAAGCAACAATGAGCTGCAGGATTCAGGAGTGAAGCTGCTCTCTGCTGGACTGGGGGATTCACACTGTAAGCTGGAGATACTGAGGTCAGTCCAGTTTGACGGTACAAATACTAAACTGGTACGTTAATATTATAAAGTGTTTCTGTGGCTGCAATGCAAGTCAGACAATCGAACCGCTGCACTCACACCATTTCATTCCCACTAAGTAGGTACCAATTTACAATTTTTACTTTCCAGTTCTTTATATTTTTCAGAAAAGAGGACATGATGCACATGTTTTCTTTTAGTATTGTCATACTGATTTAATATTGTTATACTTTATACTAAAGTGAATGTATCAGCTGGACTTTTCACAGTTTCATAACAGAGAAACCTAAATCACATTTGCTCTGTGAGAGCAGTCTGATGTGTTTTACAGAGACTTGGCTACATAGTGATGTGCCGGATTATAATATTACACTGGGTGGCTTCAGCGTGATAAGGAGTGACAGGACGAAGAGTGAGAGTGGTAAGAGGAAAGGAGGGGGGCTGGCTGTTTACATCAATGACGTGTGGTGTAACCCCGGTCATGCGACTGTTAAGGAGCGCGTTTGTAGTCCGGATATTGAATTGTTGGCTGTCGGACTTCGCCCATATTATTTACCCAGAGAATTCTCTCATGTTATAATAACTGCTATGTACATTACTCCGTCCGCGAACACAGCCGCAGCGTGTGATGTCATCCACTCAGTCACCGTCAAACTCCAGACCCGGCACCCAGATGCCTTTATCCTGATCTCCGGCAATTTCAACCACGCATCCTTGAAAAAGACTCTCCCCACTATCACGCAGTATGTGGATTGCCATACCAGGGGGGATAGGACACTTGACTTTCTGTATGCTAATGTTAAAAGTCCTTACAGTGCTACAGCCCTGCCCCCTCTGGGGAAATCAGATCATAACCTAGTTTATCTCCAGCCAATATACAAACCCCTGGTTCAGAGGCAGCCTGCTACAGTGAGATATGTGAGAAGGTGGTCAGAAGGAGCCACTAATGTTCTAAGGATTGCTTTGAGGCTACAAACTGGGAAGTTCTCTGTGAACCATATAAAGAGGACATTGATGGTATGACAGACTGCATTACAGAGTATATAAATTTCTGTGTGGAGACCTGTATACCTATGAGAAATATTCGCTGTTTCACCAACAATAAACCCTGGGTCACCAAGGATATTAAAGCTTCCTTAAATGAGAAAAAAGGGCTTTTAGGTCAGGTGATAAGGAAGCAGCGAAGAAGGCTCAAAAAATGTTGGCTGTCAAAATTAGGGAGGGGAAAGAGTCTTATCGCAAAAAACTGGAACAAAGGATGAAGAATAACAACATGAGAGAGGTGTGGAGAGGCATGAGGAGCATTACTGGCTACAAGATGAGTGGCCAAGCTATTGAGGGTGATGTGGAACGTGCTAACGATCTCAACACCTTCTTTAACAGATATGATGTCCCCTCGTGTCACACCACCATCAACTTCAGCTTTAACCCTTAGGAGTCTGAAGGTG